TGCAAATTCTTACCCTTTTTATTATCCCTAAACTTATTTCTGTATTTGCAGGTTTTTATCCTTTCCTGAAAATCTACCAGTCTCTTCAACTGGTGTATACCTCAGGAGTCTAGTAAGTAACTGGTCAGCTATATTTGTGTGTGTTTTCAGCTCACCTCCTGCGGGCAGACGTCTTTCCTTCCCTCAGTCTCTTTGACACATGTTGACTCTGTCTGTGTTTAGGTGGAGCTGGGACTCTGCTTATGTTAAAGCGTATGCTGTTTGCCAGTGTTTACCCAACTGTGGCATGTTTTGACTTGTTTTATGTATTTTAAGATGGACTGTCCATTTTTTCTACTCTGTGTGCGTGTACCTGTGTGTGTGTGTGTGTGTGTGTCTAGTGATCCACAAAGCTCCAGGGCAAGAAAGCTGTGCGTGACTATGGAGCCAGCACTACTATTGAAGGGGGACATTATGGTGAGTAATAGCACATGATTAACTGTATGTCACTAATTTACAACCTTTCTTTGATTTATATCCTCTCCGTATCCACAAATACATACAGTACATCACTGCAATAACTGCAACACTTCTGCATGTTTTTTTAGCTAAATCCTGTAGTCAGAGGATTTTATCCACGCTTAACAAAACGGCTACACAAAATACTTTTTGCCCTCCTGACTCTGATGCACTTTTGTAACTTTACTTTTGAACAGTGCTTTATTATTTTTAAACCACTTAAGCGTTAAATCTTCCAGAGACTGCATGCTCATTTTCTCCCATCAAGGGGATAAAAATATTCAAGTCCTTAGCAGCCCAGGAATAAAAGAAGGCATTTTATTTATCTCAGTGTAAGGGGCTGCTATCTTGAGACTATCGTTGTACACTGCTTTTTTATATGCATCTTTGTCCATAGGTAAAGTGCTACCACTGGCGGAGACGAGCAACAGAAAGAGAGGTGGTCTTTAGAGTCCAGTTCCACACCTGTACTGTTCATGGAGCCCAGCTGTGGTTTGGCAAGAGTGAACTCGACCAAGCCTGCATAGGTATAAAATTACAAGCCCAAAGTTTGTCAGTTGTTTGGAGGAGCATGGAATGGCAAGAAAAAAAATGCCAGCTTGAAGCAATGACAGAGTCAGACAATTGGGCATAGAAACTGATGCTGGTAACTACAGTCAGTTGTTTCAGACAACGTCACTTTTTCTGTAACTCACTTTAAGCATTTGTTTTGCAGACATAACAGCAATGTAGAGGTATGTCATCATTCCTTATGTCTACTCTGCTCAAAAATGAAAAGAACAGTGTTTTTAATCAAAGTATAGCATTAAGTCAGTTAAACTTCTGGAGAATTGATTTGGCCAGTTACATTTCTGGAGACTGGCAGTTACTCTAAGAGAACTGGACAGGGCTGTAGAAGGTGCTTAGCACATCAGCAGGACCAGTATCTGCTCCTTTCTGCAAAGAGAAACCGGATGAGCACTGGTGTGAATCTCTCTGACCAAACAATCAGAAACAGACTTCATGAGGGTGGCCTGAGGCCCTGACGTCCTCTAGTGGCCCTGTGCTCACTGCCTGGCACCTTGGAGCCTCACTGGCATTTGAGATGATGGGAGCAGGTTTACTCTGAGCCCATGTGACAGATGTGAAAAAAACCAGATAAGCCATGGAGAACTTTATGCTGGCTGTAACATTGTTCAAAATGGCCAGTTTTTTGGTGGGTCAGTGATGGTCTGGGGAGGCATATCCATCAAGGGACTCACACACCTCTACAGGTTAGGCAACAGCAACCTGACTGCTATTATGTATCGGGATGTTATCCTTAGACCCACTATCAGACCACTGGGTCCTGGGTTCGTCCTGGTGCACGACAATGCCCTGCTTCATACAAACTACTGACTACAATTTTGACTGCAATGAAATTTCTACAAATTGGACTAGCCTGCTGCATCATAATTTTTTCACTTTGATTTTTGAGGTGTCTTTGACATGGTGATAATTTTCTTCCCATCCAACGATGTGGCATCCTTTCTTTCACATTACCCAGTCATATCAGGACAGATATCCAGCATTATTTCTTTCCCTGTTGAGATCTGATTTATTTTCAAAGTGTTTCTCAACTTTTTTTGAGCAATCACAAGCTTTTTATGTCACTCTTAATTGAATTTTCTTTTAAAACTGGAGCATTAGCCAACCTTTTTCTTCTGTAACTGTTAGTAAAGCTCATAACATAATTACTGTTGAAATGACTTGTGCTCTTTGAAATGTGCACATATAAAGACAATAGCTACAATGGTTCTGAAAAGGAGCATTTACTGTTTGTAACTCTATCCCTGTAATTATGTGCATAGCACCCCCAGCAGGCTTACTTGATGTTTACTTGCTGTGTGTGGTTGTAAAACTTTAGTCTGTGTCATTGTTGCCGCCCTTTGCTATCCTTTGGCTCCACCCCATCTTGAAGGGGAGTTAGTACTGTTAGTACTCTAAATAACTGCAGCATGGTTGTTTAGACTCTGCCTCACAGCATAAAATACTACAAAAAGGAAACTTTCTGCTGTATAATTCTGCTGCTAACTTGAAATTGTTTACATGACTGTATTATTCAAGAC